TTCTATCGTTAGACATTTTAACTTTGTGAGACCATTTCCTAATCTGTAAAATGGGATAGTAATACCCACTTGCCTGGGGCTGGGGACATCTTATATCCTGTTTATTTTCAGACTCACATAGAGTAAATATTGTTGCCCTGTTTTACAAATGGGTAACCTGAGACGCAGAAAGGCTAAGTCCCATATTTCTAAAAATGGTATTTTATTTTGGATGCCCAACTTCAGACCACTGTGAGTCTGATTTTTTTCCCAAAGGTGTGGAGTGCCTGCAGTTCCCATTGGCTTCAGTTGGAGTTATGGTTGCTCAAAGCTGAAAATCAGGCCCCACGTGTCTCAAGTTGGGCATTCAAAAACTCAGCTATGTGTAATAAGAAGAGGCCACTTTCGAACATGCTGCCAAAGTGTCTTGTCAGGGAGGCACTTGTGATGATTTAGGGGTCTTGTCTGTACTGCTTCTGAATTGGAGATGATTTTACAAAATTGTATCATGAAATTACTGTGCCATGGAAAGCTTATATGTATGTGGATCCACTCTGAGTTAGCAAGGTTTTGTCATGTCTCTCTGCCAGGCCAGAGACAATGGTGAATGATCAACACTCAGTGTTTTTCTATTTAAAGTCAAATACAGTAACTCCTCACTTAAAGTCTTCTCGGTTAATGTTGTTTCGTTGTTACGTTGCTGATCAATTAGGGAACATGCTCGTTTAAACTTGTGTAATGCTCCCTTCTTTGGCAGCCGCCTGCTTTGTCTACTGCTTGCAGGAAGAGCAGCCCCTTGCCGCTAGCTGGTGGGGGCATGGAACCAGGGCGGACCGGCAGCTCCCATCAGCTCCCCCTATCAGCTCTCCGCTCTCCTAAATTCCCTGTGCAGCAGCTGCCTGCAGTCCAGCTTTGTCCCTCCCCCCCACTGCCATGTGCTGCTCCTGCCCTTTGCCTTGGAGCTGCTCCCCGAGACTCCTGCTTGCTGTGCCGGGGGGGAGGGAAGGAAGAGGGGGGCTAATGTCAGGGTGTCCCCCCTGCTCCTGCACCCCGCTTACCCCATCTTCCATAGAGCAGGGCTCAGGACTGAGGGAAGTTGCAGCAGCTGCGGTCTCAGCAAGCTGATCTAATTAACAAGGCAGTGTACTTAAGGGAAATGCGCATCTCTCCCTCCATTCCTGCTGCCTTGCAGAGTGAGAGAGTTAACCCTTGAGGGCTCAGCCAATTGCTAGTTCATCATTTAGCAGTAAGGGAAATAAATATC